AACTCAAAAGGGAGTTAAATTTGTATGGCTAGATCAATGTGAGCATATTTTCCAAGAATTGAGAAAGCAATTAGTGTTAGCTCTTAAATTAACCTTGCCTTTAGGAACCGATGGTTTCACAATCTACTGCGATGCATCTAAAGAAGGTTAGGTTGTGTTCTTATGCAAGATGATAAAGCCGTGGCCAATGCCTCTAGACAATTGAAAGCACCAAAGAAGAACTACCCCACTCATGATCTAGAGTTAGCAACGTTTGTGTTTGCTTTGAAAATATGACAGCAATACTTGTATAGTGAAAAATGTGAAATCTTTACAAATCACAAGAGTCTGAAGTATGTTTTTTCTCAGAAAGAACTATACATGAGGTAGAAAAGAATATCATAACTTTTGAAAGATTATGACATGTCTATCAATTACCATCCAAGCAAGACAAATGTAGTAGGAGATGTTTTAAGTCATAAATCTTCTGGAAATATGACAACTTTACTTACTACTAAAAAACATATTCTCGAGGATATGAGGTATTGGTATCCACTTGGTACTCAATTAGCTAATCTTCGAGTACAACCAATGTTGATTGATAGAAGTAAGGCTAAACAGAATGAGGATTCTCAGTTAAGGAAGATCGGAGAAGGCATAGAAGCTAGGAAACAAGCAGATTTTTAGTATCCACGTGGATAGGTCCTTGAAATTTCATGGTCAACTATGTATTCCTAATGATTCAAAGTTGAAAAAGGAGATATTATAGTAAGCTCACAAAACCAGATTTTCCATTCATTTGGGAGGCACTAAGACATACAAGGATTTGAGAGAAAACTTCTAATGGATCAACGTGAAGAAAAATATTGTAAAATTTACTGATCAATGCCTGGCTTGCCAGCAAGTAAAAATTGAGCATCAGAAACTAGGTGAATACTTGCACCCACTTGAAAGACCTAAATGGAAATGTGAGTATATCACCATGGACTTTATTGTCGATCTACCAAGGACACGAAGTGGTGAGAATGCTATATAGGTGATCGTTGATCGATTGACTAACTCTGCACACTTTCTGTCATATTGATTCAGCCTTTTAGTAGAAGTATGGGGAACAATATGTAAATGAGATAGTGAGGCTTCGTGGAGTTTCGGTGAGCATCATTATTACCTAAGATCCTAGATTTGTGTCCAACTTTTTGAGGAGTTTATAAGGAGCATTGTCTACTAAACTCAACTTCAATACAGCTTTTCACCTGCAAATAGATGAATAGTTAGAAGTTCTTTAAGGAGGTCTTCTTTCTCCCTTCGAGGGGGATTGAGGGCGGAAATGAAAACAATTCAAACGTTAGAACATATGTTGAGATGTCGCATTATTGACTTTGGTGGTTCGTGGGACAAACACCTACATTTGGCAAACTTCCCTAATAATAACAACCATCATTACAACATTAAGATGGCTCCTTCTGAAGCTCTGTATGGTCGAAAATGCACAACTCCTGTTTGTTGGTATAATGTTGGTGAGAGAAGACTCACTGGCTTAGAGTTTATTTAGTAGTCAGAAGAGAAAGTTAAGCTGACTCGAGAGTGTCTGAAAACGACACAAAGCTATAAGAAAAGTTATGCAGACCTTAGAAAGCGCAAATTGGAATTTAGTGTAGGAGATCACGTGTCTTTGAAAGTCTCTCTATGAAAAGTATTATGAGGTTCAACACATGTGGCAAGTTGAGTCCAAGTTATGTGGGATCATTCTTGATTTTAGAGAAGGTTGGCAAAGGCTTTTACAAACTAGCTTTACCACTAATGCTGTCCGGTGAACATAATGTGTTCCATGTCTCTTTGTTATGGCAATATGTGCCAAGTCCTAAGCGCGTGCTAGATTTAACACCTTTGAGGTTAATGGAGAAATTAACTTTTGAGAAGCTAAAATTTCATGCTCAAGCTCCACGTAACATATAGTTTTGAATAAATAAACATTTTGTTGGCACACAAGATTCATTTTGTCAGCGATAAGTTTACTTTAATTGAGTAGTAGTTAAGGTAGCTTGCTACTTGATTTTGGTATCGTTTTTCAATTAATTAATAAGAATACGAGTTCATCGACTCGAGTAACCTTCGTAGCTTGGTTTTCAGCTTTTCTAGGTAAGTGATACTTATCTCTTCTTTGGCTTTAAAATTCATGTCTTGAAATGATAAAAAGATATATTATAAGTTAAAGAGGCATCACATGATTTGATATTCTTTTGAAAGAAAAAGTGGTTCTTAGGGCATATTGAATGCTTCAATCTGGATCGAGCATTAACTACCATTTTATCTATTTGAAATGGTAAAATATTTTTGGATTATAATTTGAGCCAATTGCCTATGATTGGTTTGCGAAACCTTTTATGAAAGAATTATGAAAAATTCTAGATTGTGAACGGAACTTTGTTTGATATCTATTAAAATATGAAAAGTTACATATTTTGGTTAGTGAACATAAGTTTTGAGATGGATTCTAGATTTGATTTGTGGGCTATTGAAGAATGATTTAAGTAGATTATGCTTATGTTGCTATGATTAAAACCCATTGAGGAGTTAAGTATGCATACTATTATCAAGACATCCTTTTAGGTTGAACCACCGACTTATATAGGTGGAGACCTATCCAAGGAGGAAACTTGATCGCCTTTGTCACGTGAAGTAAGCCTGGCCATAGCTAGATATTGATTTTTAGAATAATTAATGGAATTGACAATTGGCGTTTGATTTTATAGATATTGATCAATGGAATGAACCATTGATAGTTAATTTGTTATTGTTGACTTGATATCATTGATTGATCTAATATGTGAGGAGTTTTGTTGAAAAGATATAACCTAATTTTCATATTTTACATATATCATATATTGAATTTAGGATTGATGAGTTATGACATCATTTTATAAAGATGCAAAGTGAATGTTCGATCTACTTAGAAAAGATGTACTACTCACTAGGTTGTAATTGTTCATTCAATTCATCTTACTTGCTTTTCAGGTTCTTCAGCTAGCCGCAAGTAGGACAAGAGCGTTTACGTTACTAGAAAGACATTTTGGTAGTGGGATTATGGGTATGAGTTGGTTATGTATGAGGTGAACTTTCGAGTATAGTTGTTAGTTGGAGATATACATATCGCTTCGATGGATTATAGAAACTCTGATCTTGTTATCCGATAACTCTTTTAACAAATACATAGATGTATATATTTCAATAGCATGTTAAAGATGGTTATATTTGTGGCAGCGTCTTTTGGATGGAAGGATGACTGTATCATTGCCCATGTTTTTGTATAGTTGGGGATGTAACAGTTCGCTAAGCCAAAATGATTTGCATCATGTGCCAATGGCTGTGTGGTTTGAACAAGAAGGACTACCGACGACATTGATTGGCAGGGTACAAAATTGTGAAACGAAATGGTGTACACACATGCATCGTTTTGTGAGAGTATGCGGTTTTACCCAATGATGCCGCTTGACAGAGCCGGTGAGCGACGATGTCCTAAAGGATGGCAAGATGGCGAAGAAAGGGACGAGGGTGACGCAACATCCAAACCCGATTCTATCCACGTATTTGTCACCTCTAATCATATGCAATGATGATTTCATGACGATTGAAATCATAAGCGCGAGGATGACGCACGTCTTATCCATGCTGATCCATGCTTGCGTGGTCGTCCTTGTCCAGCACACGAATGGCGACTAGTTGGAGTTTCTCTGTGGGCTCACACGGGACCATTTTGAACCCCCTTTTTCTAATATACAAGTATATCTTCCAATGTTGCGGTATCATCGATATAATATTACATTTAAACAGGTAAACCTTCGACGTAATCGCTCATCACTCATGCCGTGGCATTCAGGAACGTGATGAAATCATTATCTCACCTCTTTCACTGCATCGAGCTGAGCAGCTCCTGAGGCAAACAATATTCTCCATAAACGAAAGATGGCCAACGACTGTACACATATATGATACTTTGCTCATTTCCTATCTACGGAAGGCCTAACCAAAGTATATCTCCTATCACATTTATTTAACTTTCCTAACTTTTGAAGTCAAGATTTACCCCATTAGCACTCGATTTTTTCGCGTGAACGAGATAAAGGGTCACGGTCCAACTCATTCCGTCCCCGAATTGGCTAGGGATTCAACCCCAAACCACGTCTCAAAAGAGCCTCTGCATAAGCTCTTATCAATTTACCCCTGTTAATTGCTCGATTTTATTGCCAAATAGTGAACTGTCGCGACATGAAGTGATTAATATAGGTGGTGGGCCTGGACATGCAACCTTGTTTAGATGGAAAGAAAAAGGAAAGACGGGTCACAGTCAAGGCAGACCAAGTTGTCAAGGAGAAGAAGCGAAACCGCTTACTGAAGACTGGAGAATTCAGGCCAACATCAACAGCAATTGTCGGAATTCTCGATCGCCTTTTCCATCGCGACTTAGGTTAATATCACGAAAAATTTCAAACTGATACACCTATAACAAATTTATTTCAAACTAATTTTTTATCCACCTAAAATCCCAAACTGGTACATCTATGACAAATTTACCCTCTATTAGTGTCCGTTAAATTTTATCGGCAATTTATTGAGTCGGATGATACATAGCAGTTGGCGGATGTTCTAATTTGAGGTTTTACCCCTCTGTTTGTCACAGATTTAACAATTTGTGATTTTTCGTGATATTAATTCAATTTAACGGAGGGTAAACTTGTCACAAATGTATAAGTTTAGGATTTTTTGTGATTAAAAAATTAGTTTGGAGTAAATTTGTCACACATGTATCAATTTTGAATTTTTGATGGTCAAAAAATTAGTTCGGAGTAAATTTATCCCAAGTGTATCAGTTTGGGGTTTTTCGTGATATTAATCCTCCAAAAAATGAACCCTAAAATTTTGTAATGTATAAAAGTTTTGTTTCAGCTTCAAAGCACCCGAAACCCTAAAAATTAAATAAAAAGTTGCACCTTAAAACAACAAAATCCTTGCTCAGCTTTGTTTTACCTCAACCTGTCCTCAAATACAGAGAAGCCCTTCCAAAATGGTTTACTACGAACCCATTTCGGAAACTGTACCGTGGTATTTAACATTAGAAACGTGAGATATATTGCAACAGTTTATTGAAACGAGATAACTTTAGCATCCCAGAAATCTGTGTCTGTGTGGATACTACCGCTTAAACATGCATTCACCTACCCGCATTAACCCTACATGTCGCAGTGCGAGTTCAGTAGTTCCTCCAACAACTTATCGTCCAGATACTCGAACTCGATCACATCTCTGGATGGCTCGGCGGGAGCTGACACAGCAGACGACGATGAACTTGGCGAAGAGAACGGCGGCGGCGGCGGCGGCAGCGACAGGGATGCAGAGAAAGAACCGCGGTGGCCGGAGACGTAGTGGTCATTCGGAGCGTAGTACTGTTGCTCGTTGGGGAAGTTGAGGATGGCCAAATGGCCCCGGAAGGCGAAGGCGGCCCGGTCGTAGGCGCGAGCGGCCTCCTCCGCCGTCTCAAAGGTCCCGAGCCAGAGGCGCGCGCCATTCCTCGAGGGGTCCCGGATCTCAGCCGCAAACTTGCCCCAGGGCCGCCGCCGGATCCCTCGGTACCGGGGTGGATCGCATCGTGACCGCAATCCCCTCTTGCTCCCGGTCTCTTCGCTGTTCTCGTTGTTCTGATTCCCTCTTGAAGAAGACCCTTCCATGGCCAAGTGAAGGGTAAACTTTGAGAAAATGGATTTCGAATTCGATCGCAAATGATCGATGGAGACTGGTGGGTATATATAGGGTTTGGTCACAGATGAGATCGGAGGCGTTGAAAAGTTCAGGGGAGGTCGTATCTGACGGTGGGGGGTTCGTCTTTGTTATGTCTTCTTGTGAGAAGGTTCGGAGAGAGACGAAACGAATTCGAGTAAGTGGAGAGGCACAGGATGCCTTTTGGAATTCCGATTGGACGAAGCCCAGGTGACTGTGATTGGCCTTATTTTCGAATTTTATATAATCGCTGTGTCTTATCACATGTTTATGTACTGTGGGCCCCGGGTAGGGCATAAGTCAGATACGTGTGCATGCATGTGCATGACTCATTGGATGAGGTAGTAATGTCGCAAGCAATAATCAAAGCATGGATCTGATTTTTTTTTTTTTTTATCTTTAGTTAGGCTGGTAATAGTAAATATTAATCTACACTATTATACAAGGCATACCTTATGCTGGACTCCATGCAAGACTCGTTAAGGGTGAGCATGATCTGAATGAGCGATTCTCATCATGGAATCAGGAACAACCCACTAAAGATTGTTTCGAAAAATTGGAAGACGACCGAACCATGGAACCAATCCCAACAAGTTTCACGCAATTTGAGGTGATCAAGAGCGAGAGAGGGAGGCGATGAACAGCAATGAGTTTATGGGAGTTGAGAGTCGAAACCGTAAGTCGATGAACGTAAAGCTTGAGAGTCAAGATCATGAGTAAGAGATAAAGAGACGAGACAAGCACCAAGTTGATGACAGTTGAGCTTCAGATTATGGATTTTAAAGATTTCATTTTTCTTAAAAAAACTTCTTTTTTTTTTTCGGAAATTTTTCTTAAAAAGTATATATATGTATTAACGCTTCAATCCAGGTGGACAATTCCACGCCTAGAACTAGGAACCGGTACAGCACTCACTGGTTTTAGTAAATTGGAATTGAGAACCGAACTGGTCCCCACTAGAACCGCAGGTTCCAGGCCGGTCCGGTTCTAGACGGTTTCCGGTTCCTTTGCAAACCCCGAAAACTCGTTAGCGCAACTGGCCATGATTAGTCATCAGTCGTCTCTTATATTGTGTCCCTTAAGTAAGGGGTAGAAATCATGTATCATCCTTTTATGTTGCACCTCAATTTGTGCTGATATATTGAGGATGTCAACATTTTATCCAACTTAATTGGCAATTTTATTCGTGTCTTTATCCTATATCACGAATTATATATGGCCTCTTTTAACGATAATGTGGTGGATAGAATCAATCCATGCACAAGATAATGATGTCTATATAAATTGGTGGTTCTTTAGTATGAAAATAAGTATTGTCTTGATCCCAAACTTGTTTTTGTAAGAAATCGGCAATGTTGATGGTGTTTCATACAAAGATTGTAGGTAAAAATATGTATTATGGATGTTTTTTTACCATTAAATTGCTCCAGTTGGATGGCACATTATAATTGATGGGTGTACCAATTTGGGATTTTACGCTCTGTTTGTTATAGGTGTATGAGTTATGATTTTTCGTGGTATTAATCCAATTTAACGAAAACTATCAAAAAGTAAATTTGTCACAAATGTACCAGTTTTGAGTTTTTGGTAATCCAAAAATCAGTTTTGAGTAAATTTGTCACAGATGTACTTATTTGGGGTTTTTCATAGTATTAACTTCTTTTTAAAAATATTTAATAGCTACCTTTTTGTTTAATTTGGTATTTATAACTCACCAATGGGAAATTAAACACGAATGCGAACTCTCATGTGGGAATTAGGGAAATCGAGCACAAATGTCTAATTAATGGTATCGAAATCGAATGACGATTCTATGACTGATCAAAAGCATAAGTGCAGAGGATGACGCAAGTCCTGTCCATGATGACGCGGTCGTCCTTGTCTAGCCAATTTTGGGAGAGACTCTTGAACGCGCACGAGTGGCTGACTACTAATTGGACTTTCTCTGTGGGCCCCCATGGGGCCAATTTGAACAACATTTATCTAATACCCAAGTATAATATCGTGGTATCATCGAAATCATATTAAATCTATGACTTTGACACAATCGCGTATCACTCATGACGTGGCAATCGGAAACATGAAAGCCCTCAACTTTAGGTCACATAAAAGATGGGGTAATTCCCAAAAAAAGCATTAATTTTACCTTGAGTAATAATTCTGGTCCGAACTTTTTTTTTATCTCAATAAAAAGTACAACTTTTACTCAATTCCCAAATTTGACTTCCGTGATGTGAAATTTTCAAATTGGTCGGATCAGATTTAAGATTTAAGTTAAAGTTTATGATTTTTTATGAGACAAAAAAAAGTTTGAGCCAAAATTGTCACTTAATTTAAAGTCGGTGCTTTTTTTTTTTGGAATTAGGCCCATAAAAAACCTCCAACTTTTTTTTGTCTCATAAAAACCCCCCAACTTTAGGTTTAGTACCAATTCTACTATAAACTTTTATTGTCCCATGAAAAACCCTCAACTTTAGGTCATCCCAATTCTTCCATAAACATTTTTTTTGTCCTATGAAAATCCCCCAACTTTAGGTCTTGTCCCAATTTTACCATTCAGTACCAATTTTACCCTAAAATTTTTATAGTCTCATAAAAACCATAAATTTTTACTTGAGTTACAAATTTGTCCCTATTAACCTTCCGTCCAAAATTTCTCATTGACAATCAAGAGATGAAAACTCACAAGCATGATTTGTTCAAGCGTCCCAAGCGCGAGCTCTTCAACCACAAGAGATGGAATATACCCAAGTACGAGAGGTCGACGAGTGCAAAATTACAAAGGGCAATTTTGACGGAGAGTTAATGGATAGCATATTTGGGACTCAAGTTAAAGTTGTTGATCTTTTATGAGACAAAAAAGTTAGAGTGAAATTGAAACTGGACCTAAAGTTAGGAATTTTTTATGAGACAAAAAAAAAGTTTATGGTAAAATTTGAGACTTTTTATGAAACAAAAAAAAAATTTAGGGTAGAATTGAGGCTGAATCAAAAGCTGGGGTTTTTTATGGGACAAAGAAAAGTTTATGACAGAATTGATACATGACATAAAGTTGAAAATTTTGTAAGAGACAAATAGTAGAAGTGGGACAAGAGTTAAAGTTAAAAGTTTTTTAGGGTATTTGGCCTTTAAAATGTGGGCATATGCCTGCTAATCTTCATTAATTACAAATTAACGTAACATCTCAAATCAAATTCTCCTCCTTCCTCCCTCTATCTCTCTCTACCGCGTCCTTATCACCATCGTAACTCTTACCTCCGCTGGCCAACAACAATTGATATAGATGTTTAATGAGGATTTTGAAAATAGGAATGTACTTTTTTTCTTGAATATGTAATAGCTACCTTTTTATTTAATATTCTATTTATAACTCACCAACGGGAAAGCAAGCACAAATGTCTCATTAATTGAATCGAATGACGATTCTATGACTGATAAAAAACATAAGCGCATAGGATGACGCAAGTCCTGTCCATGATGACGCGGTCGTCCTTGTCCAGCCAGTTTTGGGAGAGAGGCTCTAAACGCACACTAGTGGCTGCCTAATTGGTCTTCCTCTGTGTGCCCCCGTGGGGCCAATTTATTTGAACGACCTTTTTTTTTTCTAAATTAATATCACGAAAAACCCTAGAAGGATATACTTACAATAAATTTATCCGAAATTAAATTTTTGACCAAAAACAAAATACCAAATTGGTACGTCTGTGATAAATTTACCTCAAACTAAATTTTTGACTACTAAAAACCCCAAACTAGTATATTTGTAATAAATTTACCTTCTGTTAAATTGAATTCATATCACAAAAAACTATAAACTGGTATATTTGTGACAAATGGAGGATAAAATCCCAAAATGGTACACCCATTAACTAGCACGTGTCATCTAGCTCAGAAATTTGATGGTAAAATTTAACGAAAACTAACGAAGGGTAAAATTGTCATAAGTGTACCAATTTGGAGTTTTTGATATTCAAAAAATTAGTTTAGGGTAAATTTGTCACAAGTGTAACAGTTTGGAGTTTTTCGTGATATTAATCCTTTTTTTTTAATACACAAGTATATGTTCCAACACACTGTGGTATCATTGAGATCATATTAAATTTTAAGTTCCCGTTTTTTTTCATAAAAAATAAATGATTTACAAAATATTTTTTAAAAAATAATTGGTTATATCAATTACAAAAATGAACAAATGAAAAATATTATCACTATTAACGAAAATATTTAGGCATAAATTGTTATCAATAATAAAAATATTTTTTATTTGACTAATTATTTCAAACGATATAAATGATCATTTTAAAAAATTATATTTTTAAATAAAAAAAAACATTTACATCTCTTTGACAAAATCCCTCGTCACTCATGACGTGGCACTCGGGCATGTGACGGAATCATTGTGTCACTCTTACACTGCATCGAACCGAGCTGCTCCTCAGGCAAACAAAATTCACTAGAAACGAAAGATGACCAAAGACTATATATGGGACATGAAAGATTTATATAATTTAATTTAAACTGGCAAAAAATATGGACTCATTTCCTATCTGCTCAAGGGCTAACCCAAAGTATGTCTCCGGTTATATTTTGGCTCGGTGTTATCTCCGCAACATCGAGAAAAGTTGGAATGTCCCTCTGTAATGTTACGGTAATTTGCTTTTGATTATTGAGGATTTGGAATGTCCTTTACTTTCAAATTTTTGATTTTTTTCACATGAAATTTGTCTTTTATTATATTAAACCTATATAAGATGAGGCATATGGAGATTTACTAATTTTGGCGAAGCAAACAATTAGTTGATGTGTATTGGTTAAGGCTTCACGGTAGCTAGATGTGATGATTTGATAGGTTGGATCGATCTCAATTTGGTATGTCGCGATTTCGAATCCTATTTGGATGTGGGCCAATTCAATTTATACGATTCAAGTACATACCCAGTTTGATTTGGGTCAATGCGAGCTCGGCTCATTTCAAATTGTTTGATATCTTGATGCAACGGATGTGATTCGAGTCATTGCTAATTTCAGATTGTGTCAAATTTCAAATATAGTTCGGATGAAAATCAATTTCGATTTCAGTGACGTTGAGTCAATTATTATATATATTCTACTTTGAACCGACGGGTCAACTCTTTCAAATAATTTATGTGCACACTATATCTCCTTTGATTGTCGAAGTTAGCTCTCAATGATTATCGGTCATATTTCTTACTTTGCGATACCTAAATTAGAATAATAAATTACAAGTAGGAGATTGGAGCTTGAACTTTGATGCATATGAAACACGTGCGCACCAAGGATACTATACGAGTTCTTGGACAATTTCGTGTTCGAGTCTTCACGAACTCCAATTTCGCTTTGCATGGGCTTTGTCCTCGTCGGACTCAAGTTCACTTCACATTTGGTCTCGAGTTTCGTCGAAATCAGACGCTTGAATAAATCGAATTCGTTTATTGGACAAGCCGGTCCTAAATTGTTGACTTTTCTTAGACAATTTGAGTTGGGTTAGACCAGCTTTTTGATGGGTCGGAAGAGTATTTCGGAATGGTCGGAAGAAATTCAAAACCCTCGTCCCTCTTTGTTGTCCTTAGTTTTCAAAACCTACAAAAATCATCGTGACTTCTGAAATCTCATTCGGAGATGCATCTCTCACTTGCTAAAATGCCCCTAACCAACCCAAGTCAGCCCCTCCTCCTGCTCTGCCCGTGACCCACCGCAGTGTCGCCGCCCGACACCGCAAGCCGAGCCAGCTCTCGTCGCCGACATCCACCCCCGCTCGAGCTCATCTCTTCTTTCATCCCTGCCGTTTTTTTTTTGGCTGCATCGAAGGTTAATTCTAATGTTCCACGTCGTGGTGGTGGGTCCTGCGCTAGCGTCACCCCGGGTTTACCTCCTCGGCTGTCGGCCGTGCGGGGGGTTCCCGGGTTACCAAAAAAAAAATGAAAAAATTCTAATGTTCCTTAACATGCGATCAATAAAAGCTTTTTAGAATAGAGTCCGCCCGACAATTTGTGTGACGAGGCGCAAGTGTTTGGGGGCCAATTATAGTGCAAACACAAGCATCCAAATTGGGATTGAAATGACAACCACTACAAAAAAACATGATTTTTGCGACGAATTTTGCGACGAAAAATTTGCAAAAATCTGTCGCAAATCGAATTTGCGACGAATTTTGCGACGGAATTTTTTCCGTCGCTACTAGGTCGTCGCAAATTTGCGACGGAAAAAAATTCGTCGCAAAATTCGTCGCAAAATCCATCGCAAAGTTCGTCGCAAATAATTCGTCGCAAAATTCGTGGCAAAATCCGTCGCAAATTTTGTGGCAAAATTCGTCGCAAATCGAATTTGCGACGAATTTTGCGACGGAAAAAATTCTGTCGCTACTAGGTCGTCGCAAAATTTTGCGACGGAAAATTTAAATTTCCGTCGCAAATTTGTGACGGAAAAAAATTCGGCCCAAAATTCGTCGCAAATAATTCGTTGCAAAATCCATCGCAAAGTTCATCGCAAATAATTCGTCGCAAAAATCGTCGCAAAATCCGTCGCAAAATTCGTAGTAAAATTCGTGGCAAAATCCGTCGCAAATTTCGTGGCAAAATTCGTCACAAAATTAGCCACGAACTTTATTCGTCGCAAATTAGCCACGAACTTTATTCGTCGCAAAATTCGTTGCTAAAATTGCCACCAAATTTTTTTACTTTTGCCATGAACATTATTCATGAACAAATTTAGCGACGATTTTTTATTAATTCTTTAACAACGAACTCTGCAACGAATATCGTTTAGGGACGAAATTAGCGACGAAATTTTAATTTTGCAACGAACTTTTGTAATTTGTGATCGTACGATAAAATCATTTATTTTATTTTTTTGATTTTAAACCTAATTAAAAGAAAAATTAATTTTTGGAATTTATATTTAACATTGATTAAACACTTAATAACATCAAAATATTATAATAATATGAAAATGAAATACATTCATCTACATTTTCCACAAGAATGACATAAATATTTTTCTTTATAGTACACATAATGAGAGAATAAATAATCTTGCACAATAACTTATCTTTGCACAATAAATAATGACGACAGAAATGAATCAAAAAAGAATATCCTGCTTTTAGCGACAACACCCATCATATAAATACCGAACAAAACTAAAGACATGGTCCATGTGAGATGCCCACTTCCTGCTCCAGTTTTAACAAATGCTAGTTGAAATGTTGCTGCAACCTCTCATTTGCATAACTTATGCAGAATTGCTCAAAGCTGTTCTTCTACAAAACATAAATTGTCTGGAATTAGACACAAAATTAGTGACATTGTTTCCACATTAAATGTTAATATATTCAGCTTCTAAAGGATACAATGACTGTACACGGCATAGATTGTGAGGATATGAAAAGTGCAAGGCGTTCATGGCTCAATGTGAATGATATACCTGCATGTACATGAATATTGGATCTAAGCAAGCTTACAAACTCAAAAGCACATTAATAGCAGACATCGAGTTAAGTCTTTAAGAGAAAGCCTCGAAGCCATTACCTGCAAGGATGATTACAAGAGCTGTTGTCCAAAAACTTCCATAAAACCACAAGAAGACAGTGCCACAAAGTCCAAGCAGCAAAAGTGCAGCGGCAAACCCCACAAAAATACCCACAAGAACATCATTGCACCTGAATGAATGCAAACTTCAGTCAGTAAAAATGAATGCAGCAGAAGCAAAGTGTGCTTAATAGAGTTATTCTGAACATTTCAGAAAGAGCAACTGAGGAATGAATTCTAGGAACATAGACAAAAGAGGATGTGTATCTTACTAGATAAAATCCAGCAACAATACCGTGTGGCTCCAAGGAGTTTGGAAGTGACAACAGGTAATACTCTATGCTTATTTTGAATTCTTCTACTTTGACAGGAAGAAGGAGGAGTTGCACATATTTATAAGCTCAGTTCAGGATGAAATATTGACATACAAACATGAATGGATCCAGGGTAACAGGTCATGTCAGGATGGGAAAGGATAACTTGAACCAGCAATACAATAGGAAGTCAATAAAAGTAGCTTGTGAAGTGATGAGTGACTTTTCGACCTAAAAGGAAAAAAGTGATGAGTGACTTACCAAGACCACAAGAAACTTTACCATGCCGACCATAGCGATAGCTGAGAAAATTCCACACCATATGATAGAAAAGAAAGATGTAGTCCCCATATGTAGGAAAGAATCGATTCCCCTAAGAGTGCAATCCAACCAAATCATTGATAAGAGAAACATTATGTTCCCAAAGTATACAAGCCATTTCAAAACAACCTGGTAGGCCAGCTCAATCTTCACTTTGACATAGTCACGAGCCTTTAGTATGTCACCTTTTAAATTAATGACAAAAGGTCTTTGTGACTCTAGCCACTCTCCAGCTGCCTTTAGGACACACAAAACTGATCTTCTCACATTTCTAACAACTAAATTGTCAAATATGTGGACATTTTCTATTAGATTTGTTATATGCCCATTCAGCTTGCAGCCCAGGCCACCTTTTCGGCTATTTTGACAATTATTATCACAATGTAGTCCACCTTGTTCTCTCTCGTGGGACATGCCCATAGGAGATGCATTTTGAATATAATCCCCTGAAGATTCCCCAGACAGAACTGGGTGCTCTAATCCCTGAGCAGCATCTGTCCCTTGTTTATCCATACTCATTAGTTTCCCAGTTCCTTGACTCATGCTCTCAGCCGACACGTTGCTCGAGTGATGACTGTTCACAGTTGTCTCTTTAGGAGGAATCTTCACGTCAGTAGCTTGTCTTCTTTCTTGATGTGTTTCTGAACCCTTCTTTTTGCCATTCTGTGAGGAACGACTAACCCCATTCTTCTGCTGATTGCCCTTCCTAGCCATGAGTCAATATCCTAGGAGATTCTTCCTGGGTTAGGATACCAAGTTAATACATCCCCATCAATCAAAGTTGGCTTGCCATGCTGATAAGTGTTTTACTGCCATACCATCACCCATATTAAAACAGATGTCAGAGCTTATCTACCATCATTTAGGAAAAATAAGATGCCAACCTCGTTGACAGAGCACACTCCACAACTTCAAGAAAAGCTTGGTCAAGAAGTTTATGCACCTAAAATCGTAATTTATACCTTCCAAAGAGATGCATTTTACAAACTGTAAAGACCTAAAAACACAGTAACATTGTTTTTTATTTTTTAATTTCAACGCAGTAGCTTCTAGTTATAATTACAAAAAAGCAAGAGAAAAAAAATCAAAGGTGCTAGAAGTTTTGAGAAATCCATGGTCTAAACCCTCCAAAATCACTTGAAGCAGGGGGGAGCCAATTCCAAACTGAATTACAGGTCAGAACGACTTCACCAAGCAAGCTCTGTTACCAAAGGTGACTCAACAGTCACTTAGCATAACAAAAGTTGCAAGCTTCCGCTATTTAACCAATACTCCTCTGGGGAACCACAGACATAGGTAAGAACTTTCAACGGAATCGAACTGAACACATTCCCAAGTAAAGAAAAGTGTAAATTCAAGACCCAACAACCAAAAAGTTTACTTCCCCGAGAGCATTGCAAAAGCTCCGAATTTGAACACTCAGCCCAGTAATTCAGCTAACAGAACCCCGCTGGATACGAAAATCGAAAGCCAAGCAACACCACTGTCGTACCCAGAAACATCGCTTGAAATTCAGCACGCAACACTAGCACTAAAATCACGAATTACAACACCAGAACCCCCTTTACCCCAAACTACACCCGAAACAGTCGAGAACGAGCAGGAACGCAGCTAGAATCGAGCAATCAGGCACCCGAGAGAACGGGAGGAGCACGCAATCAAACGAACGAGCCGGCAATCGGGTGCAAGAATCACGGAACGCGACGACCCCATCCAGCGAACACCAACCGGAACACCCAAAGGGGAAGTACCTCGAGGCCAGCTCGGCGGCGCCGCCCCCCAATTCGGACGAGGGAAACACGGGGGGCCGAGGGAACCCGAAGGGACGCGGGGCCCAGCTGCTGCTGCTCCTCCTCCTCCGCGGCGGCGCGTCCTCTCCACCATCATCGAAGCTGCGGTGCGAGGGGTAGGTTCTATATCTAGCGAGGGGTACAGCGAGTGCAGATCTGATCGAGAGACGAAAGAGGGAGAGGCAGGGAGAACAGCGAGTGCAGGGAGGATCTGAGGAATCAGCAGAGAGAGAAGAGAATGGCGGGTGAGGGCGGGCAAATTGGAAGTGAGGACAGGGAACGCGAAATTTTGCGACGGACAAAAACGTCCGTTGTCCGTCGCAAACGGCAACTTTTTCCGTCGCTAATTTTAGCGACGGACAAAAATGTTCGTCGCTAATTTTCCAAGGCTCAATTTATTTTTTATAGTGTAATTTTGTGATGGATTTTAGTCCGTGCCTAATTAGCGACGGATTTTAATCCGTGGCTAAATAGCCACGGATTTACCCAGAAAAATAAAAAATAGTCGGGAAAGTGAAGCAAGAGTTTATTTTCGTCGTTAAATCCGTGGCTAATTAGCTACGGATTTAGCGACGACCTTTTAAAAAATAATTAAAAAATTCAAATTTTTTACAAAAATAAAAAAGAGAAATAAAAAATAATTAAGAAATTCGATTTTTTTAAAATAAAAATATTTAAAAATTCTTTTATTTTTTTTTATCTAAAATAAAGTCATGAGATTGAAATCATTTTCCAATGAAATCCAAACATCAGAAAACGATTTCCATCGTATATAACCAAACGAATGAAAACTAAACGTATTCATGGAAAATGATTTTCTGAAAAACACTTTCCTTTATCATTAAGTTTTCCGCAGAGTGATTACCAACTTTTTTCGATCAAGTTACTAACTAGTTTTATGTTACCTTCTTTTATTTGGTTTTCTATTTTGAAATGACTAGACTTTTCTTATCTCTAACAAAAATACATTTCTAATTTTCTACCAGCTTTGAATTTACCTTCTATTACATGAAATTATCAACTTTTTTGTGTGCCTCATTAACTTTTGCCCAATTAAGTTACCAATTAGTTTTGGATTGTCAACTCTAATTTGAGTTGCTTACCCATTTGGTTTTTTAACTTACCAATTTTTATATTGAGTCATGCTTCTTTTTGCATGACTTACTAATCCCATTTTATGATTTAATACCAATTAATTTTCTATTACTAACTGTTATTTTACTTAATTACTAACATTTATTTGATTTTTTCGTCGCTAAATCCACGACGGATTTTTTTTCCGTCGCAAATTTGAGTCGGATTTTTTTCCTGGCGCAAATTTGCGATGGATTTTTTTTCCGTCGCAAATTTGCGACAGATTTTTTTTTTCCGGTCGCAAATTTGCGTCCGATTTTATTTCCAGCGCAAATTTGCGACGGATTTTTTTTTTCCGTCGCAAATTTGCGACGGATTTTTTTTCCGTCTCAAGTTTGCGACGGATTTTTTTTTTCCGTCGCAAATTTGCGACGGATTTATTTTTCCGTTGCAAATTTGCGTCCGATTTTATTTCCAGCGCAAATTTGCGACGGATTTTTTTTTCCATCGCAAATTTGCGACGGATTTTTTTTTCCGTCGCAAATTTGCGTCCGATTTTATTTCCGGCGCAAATTTGCGACGGATTTATTTTTCCGTCGCAAATTTGTGTCCGATTTTATTTCCATCGCAAATTTGGGTCCGATTTTTTTTTCTGTCGCAAATTTGCGACGGATTTTTTTCCGTCGCTAATTTGCGACGAATTTTTATTTTGTGGCAAATTCCGTCGCAAATCTGCGACGGATTTATTTTCCGTCGCAAATTTGCGTCGGATTTTATTTCCGGCCCAAATTTGCGACGGATTTATTTTTCCGTTGCAAATTTGCGACGGATTTTTTTTTTCCGTCGCAAATTTGCGACGGATTTATTTTCTGTTGCAAATTTGCGTCGGATTTTATTTCCGGCGCAAATTTGCGACGGATTTATTTTTCCGTCGCAAATTTGCGACGAATTTATTTTCCGTCGCAAATTTGCGTCGAATTTTTTTTTGCGACGGAATTTGCCACGAAATCAAAATTCGTCGCAAATTAGCGACTGAAAATAAATCTGTCGCAATTGCGACGGATTTATTTTCCGTCGCTAATTTGCTACGGATTTTGCGACGGATTTTTTTTCCGTCGCTAATTTGCGATGAATTTTGATTTCGTGGAAAATTTCGTCGCAAATTAGCGACGAATAATTTTCGTCGCTAATTTGCGACGGGAAAATAAATCCGTCGCAAATTAGCGACGAAAAATTCCCCATCGCAAATTTTCGTGGCAAAATCCATGTTTTTTTGTAGTGAACCTTTTCTTCTTGGACCTCCCAAGAAAAAGAATTGATCCCGTCATATAGCCATTTACGTTGTGTTTGGTGGTGAACCAAAGTTCCCATATTTTTTTGAAGATATAGAATTTGCGATGTTTATGTTTAAAAGGGTTTACAAATTGCTTAAATTCAACCTACCTCTATAACTCTCTTTTTAATTTCTATCGCCCTCACTTGATCTTGTGCCCACTCACTTTGGACTCTTACCTCAGTTTGGGTATGAGTTTTCCTAGATTTTATTAAATATGGAAGTATTTTAGTAATATGAGTCGGGTCGAGTATAGGTGTTGACACCTGATTTTTAGCTCATTTTTTTTTTCATATTTTCAAAAATCTCAAAATTAGGATTAGGAATCTTGGCCAAGCCTAGAAACCTATTTCTAAACAAAAAATAAGCATTTTCCTGCATTTTGCTTTAATTTCTTTTAGTCAAAATAAGTGAGAAAATCAAGAAAAATAGCAAATGGAATCAGAAAATTCCATAAAAATAGTCATTAGTCTTATTTTAAATCCAATTTCATTAATGCATCATCAATTTTGAAAAATTTCAATCAGGTATGTGTTTTTCCCAAAATTGGGCAAAATCAAACCCGAATTGAACCAAAAATACAATTAAATCTTTTCTAGTCCTTTTTAAGTCATAGTGTCTTAAGAAAACCTCACACATCCTATTCGTTATATATAATAATAAAATATTTTCTTGGGGCGTTAAAAAGCAAAGTTCACATACACATTAGAAAAGCTGAGACATTTTTTAGATGAGAGAGAGAGAGAGAGAGAGAGAGAGAGAGAGAGAGAGAGAGAGAGGAGTGGAGATCCCCAGATCGAGTGACCGGCGCCGGTCAATTGAACGGCGCCGACAAATCGACCGTCTAAGGAGGATCTTCTCCTCGGGTGACTAGTGGCGAGCTGACCGTGAAGCCCTGAAACCGAGCTCCGGCCGACGAGTCCAGACCTTTTCCGATGGAACTGAAGACGTCAATTTGAAGCCTGAGCATCAGAGAACAACTTCACGGGCGCTGATTAGTCCGGAAACTACGATTTGTACACATTCGAAGAAGGTAAAGTTGGCTCATGATCACTGTTTTCCAAAATTTCCAGAATTGAGTTCTATTTCTAATGTGAATGTTCATGTGATTTCGTTGATGATTTTTAGCACTTTGATGTTCAAACTTGTTTCTAATCACATTTATGTTGTTTGTTTCATTTTTTATTGGAAATATGCATAAACCGAATCAATCCACCATTGAAACCCTTCGCCGGAGTTCCGAGATCCTCGCCGGAGCATTGCCGTGGCCATAGGCCATCCCAAGTTAGTGTTTCTTGACTTTGATTGATGATTTGGAATTTATTTTGACCAATTTAGATGGTGAAGGCGAGTAAGATAGTTACATAGATTCTGGAAATGCAATCTTAGGTCAGTGACAAGTTAGGTTTTTTGGCCGGATTTTTTGCCGATAGGCGAACGATCGCCGGTGTCCTGAGTAGGTTAGATTAAAAGTAGAACACATGGACTTTGCAATGAACCAATCGGAGCGGCAAAAT